GTTCTAGAATTAGATAGTAGTGACTGGTTGCACAAGTGCTGAGACAAATGGTTCTCAATATGGGAAAAAATATAAACAGTCCACACCATGTATAAATATAAGTTCCAAATGGATAAAGGACTTAAATGTGAAAAGCACAATTTAAAAACCTTTAAGAAAAAATATAAAAACATCTTTACGACCTCAGGATAGAAGTCACAAATATCATTAGTCACAATGAAAAAGACTGATTATTAAACTATATTAAAATTAAGAACTATATTAAAGACCCCATGAACAAAATATTTAATAAAAAGTCAAGCCATAGCCTATAATATATCTACTACACACACAACAGGATTGGTATCTAGAATGTATCAAACATTAGAGACCAATAAGAAAAAGACAAACACCCCCTCCCCCCAAAAAAATGAGCAAAAAACTTGGTCACTTTTCAAAAGAAATCCAAATATCATATACACATACATACAAAGATGTTCAACCTTAATCGTCAGGAAAACGCAAAGTAAAACCCATTATACTATCAGATTGGAAAAAAATTTTCAAATCTGAACATATTAGTGTTGGCAAAGACATGCAACAGTGAGAACTCACATACATTGCTGGAGAGAGCATAAACTGATAAAACAATTTTGGAAAACTAGAGCATTATCTAGTAAAATTAAAGATGTGTATGCTCTATGATCCAGCAATTGTACTACAACCCTAAAGAAACTCTTACACATGTGCCAGAGTAGGTATGTAAAAAACTTTACAGGAATACTGCTTATAATAGCAAAAAACTGGAAACAACTTAAAGTTGTATAAAGATGTATTTATACGATGGGATACTACACAGGGGTGAGTGAAACTGAATGAACTGTAGTTATACACATGAACATGGATAAATCACTCACGCTAAGTGGGGGGAAAAAAGTCTCAAAGAATATATATAATGACTCTGTTTTATACAAAATTCAACAATAGCCAAAACAAATAAATAGCATTATTTGGGGGCACATTTATATGGAGTAAAACAAAGATAATCATGGGAATGGTTAAAAATATCACAATGGTGGTTAACTCTATTGGCTGGGCAAGGTAAAGGAATAGGATCAGGGAAAGGCACACATTTAAAGATATGTATGACATTCTATTTCTTGCCTTGATGGTGGGTATAAGAATATTTGTTTTATTATTGCTATTATTACCACTTAAAATATACAATATTCACTCATTTTTATGTGGGGAAAGACTAAGGCCAAAACAATGTTTATACAATATGTAATACTAATTAAACTCACATACAGACACACACACTGTATAAGGGGGAGAGGCTCTGGAGTTATACTGCCTGAGTTAAAATCCTGATGCTACCATCTTATGCTCATGTACTGCTGAATTAGATTTCCTAATCTCTCTATGCTTCAGGTTCCTCATCTATAAAATGGGGATAACAGTATTTACCTATAGGGTTAATAAGAAGATTAATAACACTTGCTTATTATTAACATTAATACACAGGAAAAACAATTATAAGGAAATAACCCCCAAATAGTGAACATGATTATTTCTGGATGGCAGATTTGTAAGGAACTGAAATTTTTTTTCTATAATGATACCTTAAAATATGTAAGTTTTTCAACAAATGGTGCTGGAACAATTGAATATCTATGTGCAAAGGAATGAAGTTGGATCTCTTCCTCATACCCTACACAAAATTAACTCAAAATGCATTGTAAACCTAAGAGCTAAAACCATGAAATTCATAGGAGTAAATCTTTGTGACCTCAGATTAGGCAATGGTTTCTTAGATATGACACCAAAAGCACAAATGACAAAAATAAATAAACAGGCTTCATCAGAATTAAAAACTTTTGTGTTTCAAAGGACACTATCAAGAAGGTGAAAAGACAACCCAAAGAATGGGAGAAAATATTTGTAAATCATTATCTAATAAGGGTCTAGCATCTAGACTATATAAAGAACTCTTGAAACTCAATAAAATAACCCAATTTCAAAAGGAGCAAAGTAATTGAATAGACATTTCTCCAAAGAAGATATACAAATAGCCAATATGCACATGAAAACATATATGTAA